CTGACTCAACTATTGAAACTTTGATCCGTTTCCCAAAAACAAAAGCGCAGTCCAGATTTACAGTAACTATGTTGGCCAAAAAATATTACAAATGGCAACTGTACTGTAGTGTCCGTGATCGTCAACATAGAAGAGATTTATTTTCCGTGATTCGTTTACTGCTTTGTGTGAAATTCCCAAACAGATAACACTAATCGCATGTATATAGAGGACATTTGCATTTCTTATTATGATGTCGTTTTATAATATAAATATGTATCTGATTTTTGTTGGACGTTTCCTTTGAAAATCAGTGACGGTGGTCTAATCAATCACAGAGTTGTTTATATTTTATGGTGGTGGCCTTGGAGACAACAGACAGACGACGTATAATGTAATAATGGGTTTTTCACGAGTTTTATATTTTTCTCATTTTAGTAAAAGAGTTTTATATTTTTTACTTTAACTAAGTAAAGGAGTAAAAAGCTTGTATTCATACCTTTAGACAAATTGAACACAGTGCTTGCTGTAGGTTTTTATAGACAAGTTGGCAGTCAGTGGGTATCAGGTCATCAGCTATTGTTTCCCATTGGAATTATAACTCTGCACTTGCTGCTGAACACAAGGACTGTCCCTAGTGCTGTGATGTCGATTCTTAATTCAACATTCAACTATTATTTCCCAGAAACAAATCTTGGAACCCTTTTTAGGCTTTTTTGGTCTGGGAACTCCAGTAAAATTGATATATAAATATATTTGTGTGTGTATATAAAAGTATATCGGCTCTGTAGCTAAGTTGATGTGAACGCTTCGTAATGCTGGGTTCAATCCCAGCTATGGGCCATGCGCGTTGCGTTGGTTTCAACAGTGGTATCAAGAAAGTCGAATGTCTAGAAAGCAATGGCAAAGTACTGGATGTAAATTTGCCTAGAAAAACCAATGTCCTGTAAAGGATACGCAACTAACCTTTTATGTATAAATATATACACACACATACTGATTTGGATTTAAAAATAGGAATACTATGCTTTCATCCTAGCTATTACAAAAAGAACTGAGAGTGAGAAGCAACAATTAAATTCAAAGTCTGTTTGAATCACCACTAATTACTGGTATCATGAGGGCTAATGGGGAGTTACCATGGCGTAGCAGCTAGACGCTCGCCTGCGGATCTGAAGTTTGTGGGTTGGCCCCCTGGTGGAGTCAGACTTTTTTCAAAAAGTGACCTTGGCACCTAGGTGGACCAAGCCTTGAGTGGGTACCAGGTGCAGTCCTGGGAAGTACAGGTGGCTGGTGTGATGCTGACCACATCACCCATCTTGTGCTGTTGGTCTATAAAATAAAGGTCTAGTCCTATATACCCAATACACCTGAAAGGCGTGGAAAAGGGACCTTTAAAGGTATATGACATCTAATGGACTGCAGTAGTTGGGGCATTGAAGAGTGTTTAGTGGGTGTGAGAGGGTATTTCACTGAAGGATGCGTGGTTTTAATGTAAACATATCTCAGTCCAACACAAGTCTAGATAACAGTAAGGGGGTTTGATTTTCGAAGTGAATGGTGCAAGGGTCTGCAGCAGTGAGTAACAACTTCAAGAAGTCTTAACATTAATCAGTGCGTTAAGGCCATGTGTTCTTAGTACTGATAGTGGTGTGTTTAACAAATTTTGTAATGCTGATAAAAATGTGCAAATGAACTTACCACAATTAAATACAAGGGAATCACTTCTAACGTCCTCACACTCACTCTTGATGAAGGTTAGACTAGATGTCTAATCACAGCTGTTTGACATCAAAACACTTCTGTAGGTCTTCACGTCGACCTTGGAGAAAGCAGTAATGGTTTGTCCAATTCCAATATGCAGCCAAAATATTGATGAGCCAGAATAGGTTGACTATTCCAAAGTTCAGCACGAACCGTGACTCAGATATCTGACACCTCATATCCCAGCATCTAAGCTGATCTTTGCTGTGGGATCCTGAGGTAAATCCTCCACTGGTAATGGACCACACTCGGACATACACATTCACCTTCTTTGACTTCTTAGCTATGACTCCTTGGAGCTCAATCTCTTAACAACAATGTGTAGCAACTTCTGTCTGACGTCCTGTTTGCGCTATTCAGTATTGGGTGTTTTAATGCGTGGCCTGCACGTGACAGGCATATAGAGAAAATGGCAGATAATCGAGAGACAAAAACTGCGTACACAATAGAGTTGAATGGAAACTGAGCATGAGGTAGACAAAGAAGATGGCCGAGAGATAATGTTCAGGCAGGCCTACAAATGCTTGGAGTCATCAACTGGAAAGAGAAGGACGGTAACAGTGATGAACAAAAATTACTTATATCTGCAGCATTGAACCTGGGAACGCTGAAAAATAGTAGAAAAAAAATAAGAACACTGGAGCTCAAATTTAATAAAACGTAAGAGTTAATTAGTCACCAGTGTGTTGTCAGGACCTATAAGGGAAGCATGCAAATAGTAACAAGGTAACCTACCAGTCATGTTGTATGAGGGGATTAACTCTTTCAGTCCCAAACAACATATCATATGTTACTGGATTTCTCATATGCCTCATTTCACATATTAAAATGCTTGTACATTTTGTGTTTAGTTGGTGTACACTAACACACCCAAAAAAGACTTGAGCCTCCCACAAGGGGCGTGTGTGGGCCTTGTGGATGTAGTAGACACATTATTTTGTTGATTTAACAATTGACTGGCTAGGGCATCAGTTATGATCTTCTGGGATGGACAGAATTAAGGAAGACTAGCATGAGGCATGCTACCTCTTCCTGTTGTAAATTCTATGTGTGGGCAGAGCGACAGGGTTACAATTGCCTGTACAATAAATAAACCTTCTCCGCCAGCAATGCAATATATTTCTATACTGTACAGTCTCCAGCTGTTGCACTTGGATGATTCATAGCTTAATACCTCAGAAAAATGTTTAGTACTCTGGAGATATTTGCATACTTTCAAATCAGCCATTCACAAGCTCTACAGTAATAGATAAACATTGCTATTTATATTTTGGGAGCCAAATTAGCACACTGGCAAGATGATTGCTTGCCAGCCGGAAGGTGTAGGGTTGGAATCTGCATTGAGTCTGATTTTTTTAGTCGACTTTGGTTTCCTGATTTGCCCAGCCTTAAATGGGTACCAGGAAATGTGGTTAGTGGAGGAAGAAGTATGGACAGGAAAAATATACTGAATCTGCTGTATTCCAGAGATGTTGAGACGAAGGAGTCAGAGGCGAGGAACAGCCTATTGGAAATGGGTACTAAATGAGGACAAATGTGCAGAAAACTAGTTGTGGGGCAAAGAAAGAAGGGTACTTCTCACAAAAGTCATCTCATCTTGTTGGCCGCCAGATTTCATATGGGATTTACCGGGTTATTCCTTTGGTCTAGGGGTATCATGTGTCCTTCATTTTGAACGTTCTAAGCACATCCACCACCGATGACGGCCACGACCAGTGAACATTAAAATACACAAACATGAATGATTCGAACCATCACACCTTTGATGCTTTCTCCTGCAGTACTTCTTTCCTACACACAGCACCTTCGATGCATGAGACCTACTCACAACACCTTTCCAGAAACTACATTCAGTCATTTACAGAAAAGAGAGTTGCAAAAAAAAAATGTTGCTCACTTTTGTCTCGGAGACGGTGTGTCAACTGCATTGAACTAACCCGAGCCACTCTTTGGCAACACCCTGTATATAAATAGTGAAGGAAGACATCTCATAACAGCCCAAGAACATGGAACAGCCAGTAGGAACTGCTACAAAATCTCGTGGCCGACAAGTTGGGGGTGATTTTCATAAGTACTTCTGAAGAAGATATGACAAACAAACACATATTATTTGGTACTTTAAAAACCAAAGAACGAGAACAGGAGATTACATACAACTGAAATTATTCGAGGAGATATCATATGCTGAACTGGACACTGGCATAAAAGGTGTCCTTGAATTTGTTTTCACCTTTAAATTCAGTATCATTTTAAATAAGTTCATTTTTAATCCCTAACCAGGAAGGATAACCTGTTCAACAAAGGCCTGCAGAAGTCGGATGTGTCAGTCGAAAGGTGCAAATATACCAGCCATGCATTAAATGGTATCAACGCAGTTACATCTTCGGATGAATGCAAGAAAAGAAGGCAAATTGCCAGGTGTGGACAATGTCCCAGCTGAACTTTTAAAACACGGAGGTAAACACGTAACTAAGGTGATGACAGACGTGTGCCAGAGAATTCGGGTTACAAAGAAATGGCCTACTGAATGGACACAATCGTTAGTGATACCACTGCCAAAGAAAGAAAATCTGAAAAGCTGCAACAATTATAGAACTCTTAGTCTTATCACCCACGCAAGCAAAATAATGCTAAAGATACTGCCTTTAACAGATTGAAAGCAAAATCTGAAGAAATACTAGCCAAGGAACAGGCAGGTTTCCAGAAAAACAAAAGCAAAAACCACAGAACAAATTTTAAAATTAGAACGATGATAGAAAAACACCTACAACATCAGCGCGACATATTCAATATAACTTCATCGAATTCACGAAGTCATTTGACCGTGTGTGGCATGCTGGGCTCTGGCAAATAATGAGAAATTTCAACTTCGATAAGAACATCATAGACACCATTGAAGCACTTTATAAAGATGCAAGCAGTGCAGTACTCATTCAAAATGACATAAGCACATTTTTCAAGACCAGTATCGGGGTGAGACAGGGTTGCATACTGTCCCCTGTATTTGGAACGCATAATGAGAGAAACACTAGAAAATCACGAAACATCTATATCAATTGGTGGAAGACAACTGTGTAATCTACGTTTAGCACATGACATTGATCTCATGGCTGGTTCCGAAGCAGAACTCCAAGAAGTTACTACAAAATTAAAGTCAGTAGTAAATGGGTCAAGTGTAATGTAGAAAAAGAAGATATTTTACCCACACAGGATTCATTGTAGTTAAGCATCTTTGTTTCTATCACCCAGAATTCAACATGGCTACTTATTGTGCATCAAAAAATACAGTTGACCTTGCCATTGACCCACTCATCCTCTGCAAGCTGTGCCTGTCAGAGTGCCCGCTGGAAGACATGTATGAGCTGGAAGACTGCAAGTGCCTCTTCTGTGAAATGGTAAGATCAGGGCTGTTTTCTGCCAATAGTACCCAGTACTGGCACTTTTCTTTAGCATATTTTTTTTTCAGCGCCACTATAATAAACGCTTTGTGAAAAGTACCGGAAATTTTTTTAAAGACTTTTTTGTGACGAGTACCTGCACCTTTTTTTTAAAAGTCTTTTTTGTTTTTGACGAGTACCGGAACCTTCTTCTAGGGAAAAAAGCCAGACCACGGCCTCATCCCCAAATATTGCAGTCATTAGCAGTAAACACACTGCAGTCAGCATCCAGTGCAAGATGGTAAATTTGTGATTTAATTTTTTTTTTTATGTTTTAATACATAGAAGTGATTTTAAGCTTATATAATTTTTGATGTTTGATGTTGATGTTTTGATTTTTGATCTTTCACAGTGCATGCGCCAGTACCTGTTTGTCTTGATTTCAGAGGGGATGGTTGCTGACCTCACCTGCCCTGATGCTCAATGTAGAAAACAAGGAAGACTCACACATAAGGAAGTTAGTATTGCCTATTACATTTTTGTGTTAGTATTTGTAACGCATTCATGCATCGCCACCGATCTCATCTTTGTTGTTCTGGATCAATTCTACTGATGATATTCCTCCATGCCACTGTCTTAAGCCATCTACCATAATTTTTCTTGGTCTGCCTCTTCTACCAGTGATCTTTCTGATCATCACAATATTTTTCCAATGCTCCTTTTCTCATTACAAGACTAAAGAACTTTGTTTCCTTCTCATTGTTGTATAAAATGTTCTTCTTTCATTAGCCATTTCCAGGCATTAAGTGTTGACTATTCTGGCAGTCCAAGGTATTCTCAACATACTTCTCAAGAACCACATCCCAGGATGGTATGGTAAAATTGTATGTAGCGGCCCAGGGGGGGGGGGGGGGGGGGGAGGATCAGTCGATCATATTTCTAATGCTTCCTATGTGCGTTCCGGGATCCATTTAGGGGAACAACAAGAACAGACCCACTGCCTGCCCAAAAGCATGTCATAAGAGTAGACTAATTGGGAGCTTCTTTCGAAATCGTACGTCTGCCTGAGAGGCAAGGAACTAACAGTCTGCATGCAGATGAGTCAGACCTGTGAAACGGATGTACACGCAGCACTAAGTTTTTGAAACAGGACTAGAATCCAGAAGTGGATGAACAACAAGAACTTTCTGCCTGAGTTTACAGCTGGTGAACGAGAAGAAGAAGAAGAAGATTTCCAATGCACCACTGTCATGAAACAGATCCTTTTTCACATTGAATATGAGGTTTTTAGGTTTTAAACAATGGATCAACATCATGGCACACGGGTAGTAACCCATAAGTGCTTGGTTCTACTTCTAACCCAAGTCTGAGTGCAAAGAAGCTCAGCCTAATGCACAGGCAAGGATCCTGAAATACTTTGGGTAGAGTTTTGACTCCAAAATGTTGCCCATTAGGCTACTCTTTTTGATTTCCAACTGCTAAGGGGTTTTTTAAGTGCGCAACAATGCACACAGGCATCCAATCTCATTACCCAGAGACCAGGGGAAATTACTAGAAGTCCAAGTCTACCTGAAAAATTCCCAGCCCTCACTGGGGATTGAACCCGGAACCTCTAGCAACTATGAACAGTCTTTGTACTTTTTTTTTTCCAGATTGAGAAGCTTGTTGACCGACAGACATTTTTGAGGTACAAAAGATTACAGTTTGAAAGAGGTTTGTGGGTTTTATTATCACAGTGTCTTAAATTGACATGAAGCACAAGCGGCCACGTGTATGGTAATCGGGTTATTGAATCGTTGGTCTCCCCACGGAAAGTAGGTCAATTCCACTGATAAGTTTGTTGGACTAGTCAACCATGGTCAAGGTTATGGGTGTGGGGGTCTGTTGTTGTGTTGCATTTACATTTTTATTCTGAGAAAGAGACTGCCTGTGACATAGGTTTCATCACTCTCTAGAGGGGGTTGTGTTTTAGACCCAGTTGTCAATGTTTTTGAAGTGTTAAAACCTCTGGCATGGTGAAATATACAACATGCAATGTCAGCATCATTGCCGAACACCCCTGTGAAAGTGACCCAAGGTCGTGTTGCTTGAGGTAGACCAATCAAAAGTTAGCTAGGCTGAAGTTCGACTAATCAGTAGTAAGCTAGTGTATATGGGCGATCGGTGGGGAGACCAATGTAACTATTACCGGTAATTGTTTCCAACTCCGAGAACTCACTTAAGAAAATCGCAACAGGTATTAGACATGGGTAGAAAACCTTTCAATGTTAGAGTTAACCCTTCTCACCTGGATCTACACACCTGAGTATGTATGAGTAAAAGGCAATGAAATAGCTGACCAGCTCGCAAGTAATGCACTAATGCAAATGAGAAGAAGCATGGACAGAGCTGATATCAACGCTTTATGGATTAGGTTGTAGAATATTGTCGAATCTCTGATGCTAACATGAATGCATGACCTGGGAGTAAAGCTTGATGAAGCACATCTTTGCTGTCTTCAAGGTAAAGACAGGAGACACTAAAACCAGCTTCTTATGAGAACAATCAGAAGAGATTCTTGAAATGGCTGCTGCATCGAAGTTCTGAGCAGGCTTGGGAATACCCAATGTGTAACAATGTCAGTTGTGAAAACATAACATATATTGACATGAGCCACAGTGACATAGTAGAAGGTGTGCATACTTGCTGGGACAGGAGTCTGGGTTCAGTTCCTGGACCTGGTAGGATTTCTCCAATTTATATCAGCTTAGGGAGGTAACCTAGCCTCATGAAAATGTGAGTGGGCCCCATTTTGATGGAGGGAAAGAAGAATACATTCACTACCCTATTTAAGTATTTGCTGAAGTCAGATGTGTTGGTAAAAAGACACATATATCACAGTCTAGCTGTAAACTACAACACTATGTCTATGTGACAACCACCATTGTTTAAAGTTGAATGCAGAAAAAGAAGAAGAGGATAAAAATGGGTACCAGGTAATTTCCTGTTCCTCATGTGGGTTCTGGGGCACTATTATAGGGAAGATAAAGAACAGACCCACTGCCTATCCAAAAGAATGTCGTAAGAGTCGACTAATTGGGAGCTTTCTTCAAAATCGGAGTGCATCTGCCTGAGAGGCAAGGAACCAACAGTCTGCATAAAAATGAATGAGATCTGTAAAATGGATGCACACGCAACACTCAGGCTCTGTGACAGGACTGCAGTCCAAAAGTGGATGAACAACTAGAACTTTCTGCCAGAGTTTACAGCTGGTGAACATGAAGAAAAAGAAGAGATTCCCATTATTGTCTGGGAAAGGAAAGTAAAAGGGGGGGGGGGGGGGGGGGAGACTGACCAACCACCCACACCTCATATGTTGTAGCCTAGAATGTCTGATTACCTAAACTTTTACACTTCATGGCGGTATCAGCTTTTGGATTACCCTTCTATGTTTTATTGGCATATAGGAATAAATGAGTGAACAAAGAATTGACATCACTACACTCAGGAAATTCCCACACCCGCTCTGTTCCCATCTTGTGTAGCCGTTCTCTTCTTCTTAGCGTTCACTGGCTGTTGACTCAGATGGAAAGTTCAGATTTGTTTGGCCACTTCTGGACTTTAGTCTTCAGTGTTATGTGTACATCCATTTTACAGATCTGGCTTATTCATGTGCAGACTGTTGGTTCCTCACCTCTCAAGGAGATGCATTCCGACTGAGAAGAAAAAACACCCCTTTTTAGTTATCTCCTACAACAGAGAGAGGTTTTCAAGCGCTGTGCGGCAGAGACCAAAAAAGCAAAATGGGAACATTGTATTGATTAGGGGCGATAAGACTTTGGGTTTGGGAAAGTTTTGGAAGCTACATAGGCAGATGCTCAAGAAAGATCGACCCAGCGTAGTAGAAACAATTCATAGAGATGACGGTATGCTGTTAACCACCGACAAGAGAAGGGGGAGGCTTTCTTGAAGAGGTTCATTTCACAGACAGACCACAATGATGGAGATAACAGGGATACAGTTAGAGAAGACATGGCAGCCATCTTAAAGAACAAACATTATGAAGTCATCATACAGGTGGAAGACAGTTTACAAAACAACATTTGACAAATATATTTAAAAGAGAGCTACAAAATATAAAGATATTTATTACTTTGCAGAAAGGATATGTACCCATATGTTTTATCAGACTACGAGTGTAGATTTCAGAATAATTATTTAACATTGATTAAATGTTTCAAATATGTTTTGTTTTACTATTGTGTACAGAAGTTGATTTGGATCCGAATCGGACATTTTGTCCAGAGATTGGCTGTGAGACTGTTTGTCATGTCTGCTCCTCCCAGTCACACTCAGACGATGGAGCTTCATCTACTTCTGTGTCTGTAAAATGTCCAACAGTAAGTTGGTGTAGAAATCATTTTTGTAGTGGCTACATCTGTCAGTTCTCATGCAATTCTTCACCCTTTTGCCCCATGAATGCTAAGAAAATGAGTCAAGAACTAAAAAAAAGAACATGTAAAGATATATAAAGAGCAATCAGTAAAAAAAAAAACATATAAAGATACATACAGGGAGCAATCAGTAAAAAAAGAGCAGAGTGGGGCATTAAATAGAATGCATTCCCCAGGGCCTAAAACTAAAATGTATCATGTGACTGATATGACCCCATGACCTCCATCAGTGAGGCTTACAGAAAAATTGTAAGTCAGCGTGGCTTTAATAAAGCTATCGGTTTCACAAGGAAACATCTCTAAATGCTATAAATAAGCCAGACCTGCAGCACTGATGTGGACACACAACTCAAGTTCTAGAACTGGATCAAAATCCAGAAGTGGATGAACAACCAGAACTTTCTGCTGAAGTATACAGCCGGTGAACATAAAGAAAGAAGAAGAGGAGATCAGGTCACTGCAGAAATGGTGATATATCAGCAAAATCGACAATAAGCACGGTCACTATTTTTAGTCATGGCAAATTTGTTGCTTCTGGCAGATAGTGGAGTTTACATTTTTCTCCATTTGTAGACTGAAAGGGCATAATTTTGTCGCCTAGCTACTGAGTTGAGTGCATGATGAGACACTGTGAGCTGCAGATTTCATTTGGAATATTTAAGGAAGAGGGAGGGTGGTGTTTGTTGTAACAGAACTATGAGGGAGAATGGTTGGTGTGACATATCTGTTGTGTCACAGAACTATGAGGCATCTGTTGTGATACATAACTATGAGGGCATCTGTTGTGTCACAGAACTATGAGGCATCTGATTTCATACATAACTATGAGGCATCTATTGTGATACATAACTATGGAGCATCTGATGTGACACAGAACAATATGGCATCTGATGTGACACAGAACAATATGGCATCTGATGTGATACATAACTATGAGGCATCTGATGTGATACATAACTATGTGGAATTTGATGTGACCCAGAACAATGAGGCATCTGGTGTGATACATAACTATGAGGCATCTGATGTGATAATAACTATAAGGCATCTATTGTGATGCAGGACTATCAGGCACCTGATGTGATACGTAACTATGAGGCATCTAATGTGATACGTAACTGTGAGGCAGAACTATGAGGCATCTAGTGTGATGCATAAAAATAAGGCATCTGATGTGACACAGAACCATGAGGCATTTGATGTGACACAGAATTGTGCTGGAATAGGTCTGTTTATTGAATATTCTATTTCCTGTGTGGGTTCCGCAGTGTGGAGGGGGGAAAAACGAATAGACCCACTGCCTCTCCTCTAACAAACGTGTTATAAAAGTCAACTATTTAAGTCTTGTTTCCTTTAAAGTCGGCCTACATCTACCTGAAAGACAAGGAACCAGCAGTCTGCATACAGATATGTAAAATATGTGTGCACTCAAAACTCAAATTGTAGAACAAAATCACAGTCCAGAAGTAAATAAAACAGCCAGAACGTTTCTCAAGAAATTACAGCGGTGAACGCAGATAAGAAGAAATATGTAATTGCTATGGTGTAGAAGTATTACAGGAAAAAGGGATGGGTGGGTGTCAGTAGTAGAGCGTAGAAATGCTCTGTTGACCATCTCACCAGCTGAGCGCTGATTGGTCTATAAAACTTGGGTCTTGCATCATATGCCCAGAATGCAATATTTTTCTAGGCTAATCCACACCTGCTGGATGGTGAGGTCAACATGGTGATGCTGCTTTTAATTCTCGAGACGTGTCCTTTTTATCTGTTTTAGGTCGGGTTGACTTGGGAACCCTAGGACAGTTATAAAAATGTGCTCATTGGGAGTTTGTTTGTTTGATTTCACCGGCTGTGAGCTCCAGTGGAAAGTTCTGGTTGTTCGTCCATTTAGGCTTTGGCTTGGTGCCAAAGTCTTGAGTTTTGTGCGTACATCCAATTTACCAGCTTATTTGGGTACAATACCTTGGACTGTCAGAATAACTAACAATGATTGCTTGGAAATGGCTAATGAAAGTAGAACATTATATACAACAGTGAGAGAGTTCTTTGGTTATGTGATGAGAAAAGGAGCACTAGAAAATATCCTGATGACTGGAAAGATCACTGGTAGAAGAGGCAGAGGCAGACCAAGAGAAATGATGGTGGATGGCTTAAGACAGGGGCATGGAGGAATATCATCAGTGGAATTTGTTGTTGTTGTTGTTATCGATCCAGCAGCGCATGAGCTTTCGCCCTTTGGCCCAATGCCATGTAGTGGAATTTGCATGTTTTCACAAGCTGTTCTTTTCCTCCGTACAAGGTGTTCCACTTGTCTGGTCTCGGAGGGAGTAGCGTTCTTCTTGTCTCACTGAGTTTTGGGCACTCAAAGAGATGGTGTTCAACAGTTTCGTAGGGGTAGTTACATAGCTGGCACTCTGGGGAGTGTTGTGGCTGTATTCTGTTTAGGTGTCCATTGAGTGGAGTATGTTGGGTTCTAAGTCTGAAGATGGTGGCCTGGTCCCTTCTTGTTAGATGGTTAATGCTGTCATTAGGATCAGGGCCAGACATATGTCTATAAACCTCTCTTCCAGTGTCTCCCATGGCCCATCTGTTCAACCAAGTCTCTTTGTTTATAGCTCTTATCAGTGTTTTTTGCTGTCTGGAGGGTTGTCGCTGTAGGTGGTTGTTCTTGTGTTGCTCCTTTCTTTGCCAATCTGTCAGCTCTGTCATTACCTGGTGTGCCGGAGTGACCTGGAATCCACTGCATCACTATTCTGATGTTGTATGAGGTAATAAGCTGATCGGCATCCAGGATTATCTTGGCTATGTCAGTTTTGCAGCGTTCATTGCCCTCCAGAGCTTGAAGGGCAGACATTGAATCTGTGAAGATGACAATATTTTGGACCTTTGAGGGGTAAACATCCATTACAGTCTTTAGGTGGTATACTGCTGTTTCCAGTGCAATTATTTCAGCTTCATAGTTTGAACAGAATTCCCCGCATGCATCAAAAATCTCTTCAACAGATTCATCGGGATAACCTATGTAGATTCCGTAACCTGCTTTAATGGTAGCTTTAAATGCTGATCCATCAGTATAGACATTTATCCATTCTTGGGGGTAAGAATCAAATCAGTGGAATTTATCCAGAACACCAAAGACCGAGATCTGTAGAGATGCATGAACGCAAATGCCAGCTGGCAAGGCACTTGATGATGTGGCTGCAGCATGTTGTTTAATGAAGATTTGAAATATATTCGGCATGCTTTCCCATCAGTTGCTGATCTGTCTTTCAGTGTAGCACCGTTTGGTTGAGGAGTCAGTTGCATAAAAAAAAAGATGCTTTACTTTGTTGTCAATTTTTATTTTAAAGTAATTTTGTTTTTTAAATAATTGTTTTTTTTACATATATAAACAGGATACCTGGTCTTTTTTGCAGATTTAAACAGGACAAATGGTGCCTTGTCTTTTTTTTTGTTGTTGCATATTTACACAGGACAAATGATACCTTGTCTTGTTTTCCAGTGTGGACTCCAGTTTTGTTCTGTATGCAAGTCAAAGTGGCATGCTCCAATGTCCTGTAATGACGTGTTTGCCGCTGCACCAGCAGAGGAGGCAGGGTTAGTTATTTGTTTTTAATAAAAGTTATTTTTCAATTGTAGTTTCTGTTAGCTGCAAATCTTTAACAGGACATTTCACCAAATGCCAGAATTTATTGGCTGTTGCATTGTTCTTTAAAAAATTTTTTTTTTTAAATAGAGAGTTTGCGCTGAATAGCTTACCTTAGCTACTGAACTCTATGATTGGGCCAAAGGGCGAAAGCTCATGCGCCGCTGGATCGATAACAACAACAACAACAACTCTATGATAATCATACTTCTTCTTCTGTGTTCTTCTTTGTGTTTACTGGCTGTAAACTCTGGCGGAAAGTCTGCTTTTTTGTTTACTTCTGGATTTTAGTTGTGTTCCAGAACCTGAGTTTCGCATGCACATCTGTTGTACTAATCTGGCTCATTTATATGTTCTTTACCTCTCAGGCAGATGCGTTGTGACTTTAAAAAAAAAACATCCCTGATTAATTGACTTATACTCCGTTCTTCTTTTAAGAAGCAGTAGGTCCCCAGAATAAGGCCCTAAAACCCACATGGAGACTGTGTGCAGTGAAAGTGATCCTTTGTGCATGTGCCCTACTGGCGATTAGAAACACACCTACTCACAGCAGATGTGTGGCTTTGAAGAATGCAGAGAATAATATTCATTCATTCATTCGTTATCCTGTTGTGCCATTATTTGTCACATAGGGCTCACAGTCTGTTCCTCCATTCCGCTATGTCCCGTGCAATCAGTTCGTTATCATGGATGGAATCCAGACCAGCAGCCTTGGCCTCTCTCATCAAAGTTTAATTTAGGCTTTGTTTTGGGATCCTCGCCTCTTTAATTTCTTTATTTCCCATTTCAGTGCCTGTTTGGTGATTCTCTGCTGGCTTCTTCTCAGGATATGTCCAATATAGCGCTATATTCTCTGTCTTAGAACTGTTGATACTAGTTGTGCCCAGACATTTCTCGTTTTTCTTCACTCCTTTTGAATTCAGCCCATTTTATTTTCATCTTTTTCCTCCGGCATTCGTTTTTGAATGCATTTAACTTTCACTCTATGTCTCTAGTGGTTCTCCAACTGTCATTGGCAAATGCTAAAACTGAAATAACATTAGTATTGAAAATGTGTAACTTGGTTTTAAAATTACACAGTTTAAGTTAAAGAAGGTCATGGAATGATGGAAACAAAAATAAAGCATCTGTCCTTGGAACACATGGAAAACATTATCTGAAGTTGTACCTCCATTTCCACCAAAGGACACAAATTCATGTAGCTCACCATAATCATCTTCATGATATGCTTCTCGTAGAGCTTTGATAACCTGTCTCTTGTACACTTCTGAAGATTAGAGCCCACACCTTCCCTGTGTGGGTTCTGGGGCTCCGTTTTGGAGAATAAAGAATAGATCCACAGCCCACCTAACAAGCATGTCGTAGGAAGGCGGCTTATTAGGAGTGTTTTCTTCAGAGTCGGAGTGCATCTGCCTGGGAAGCATAAACTCAACACCCCCGTGTGGGTTCCGGGGCCCTATTGTGGGGAAAACAAGAATAGACCCACTGCCTCCCCAAAAGCATGTCGTAAGAGTCGACTAACTGGGGAGCTTCCTTTGAAGTCGAAGTGCATCTGCCTGAGAGGCAAGGAACCAGCAGTCTGCATTCAATAGAATCAGATCTGTAAAACTGATGCACATGCAACACCCAGGTTCTGGAGCAGGACTGCAGTCCAGAAGTGGACGAACAACCAGAACTTTACGCCATAATGTACAGCTGGTGAACGCAAAGAAGAAGGAGGAGAATAAACTCAACAATCTGTATATAAATAAACCAGATCTTTAAAATGGATGTCCACACAAAACTGAAGTTCTGGATCAAGCCCCAAATTCAGGAGTGGGTGAACAGCCAGAACTTTCCGGTTGAGTTTACTGCCGGTGAACGCTAAGAAGTGGAAGAAGAACCCACAGGTTCCAGTGTAGGGAGGCTGGTATTCTAATTGCTTAGTCTCTTGATCATCAGTAGTAAAACTGCTGTTGGAAAACCCTGTATGTTTTTTGTTATTTTCAGAATCCCATACAATAATATAGAGGATGCAAAGATCAAGAGGTGTCCTGTGTGTCTTGTACCAATTGAACGCAATGATGGATGTGCACAGATGATGTGTAAAAGATGCAAACATATCTTCTGCTGGTACTGCTTACAGTCCCTTGATGTACGTAGGGACAATACCTTGTTTTCTGGGTCTGTTCATTGTATCATTGATTATAACATAACCCTTGACCTATTAGAGTCGGGGAGGTATGTCGATGGAAGCACTAGCCCATGTTTCCTCCACTTGTTGAACAAATGACTAGTAATTTAGTTTTGTCCATTTCTTGATGCTGTCATTCCAGGTTTCTCCATATTCTAGTATCTTGTGTATATCTGGTATTCAAGAAAAATGTATCATTGCAATGGATATATTTTGTATATCTTGTGTATATGATAGTTAGTTGCGTATTCTTTACACCAACCCTAACAGCTCCTGGCTGTTGTGTGGTTTTTCTAGGCAAATTTATGTCCAGTAGTTTGCCATTGCTTTCTGGACGGTCGGCTTTCTTGATACCACTGTTGAAACCAACGCAAGGCACATGGCCCGCAGCTGGGATTGAACCCGGCATCCCGGCATTACAAAGTTTTCGCATCGGCTTAGCCACAGAGCCGACTCTTTGTTTATATATTATGTCATTAAAGAATGTGTCATGGATAGTGGTCTCTCTTTTGTAAATCATGTGTATATATCAGTCAGTAGAAATATGTGATTCTTGTTCTATTTCTTTACTTCCTCTTTTACCGCTTCGGGTGTCGAGGGTAAAATAAGGTTCTGCTTCTTGCTTTTCTGTTGTAGTTTTTCCATATTTTTCTTGATCTACCTCATGCTTTACATCCTCTTCTTTTCTGTGTGTGCTTTATGTGGTATGGCATCACAAGGCGTTCTCTCTGAGAGTGCAGACCGTTTGATTTACTGTAAAATATGTCACTGATTGCAGTTTATTCTGTATGTTTTAGTGTGTATATATGAAATTGGGAGCTCTGGTAGCATAGTGGCTCGACCTTCTGGACTAAGTGTCTTGGGATCAGATCTGCAACAAGGCAGATTTTTAAAATTTTGACCTTGTCTCCCACAGGTCAACCCAGTTTGTAATGGATACCAAGAGGTAAAGGTGGTTGGCATGATATCCACCACATCACCCATTGAGGGCCGACTGGCACATAAAAATAATAGTCAAGCACCACCTGCCCTACGCACTACTGGTATAAAACAACATTTCCCTGACTGTCTTAGTTAGTTAGTTAGTCTTTCCTCTTGAGCCTAGGATGGCGCATAGGGCAGAGGTCATGGCTCTCCATGTCGGGCGGTTCATTGCCACCTGTTTTAAGTCTTGGATGTTCATTAGGCCCATGGTTGAACCTTCCCTGATGATGGTTATACACAGGCTTTCTCTTGGTCTTCCTCATATTTTTTTTCCTTCCAGTGTCCTTATGAGAGCCTAATGGGGGAGTCTTGACTTATCCATTCTGAGAGCATGGCTGATAATAGTTCCAGTGGCGCTTTCTTATAAAATGTGATATATTTTATTTTGCTTAGTCTCTTGTTTTATTTGCGTATTGGATCTGAAATCTGTCAAGTGGAGATTTAGTATTCTTCTAAGACATCTGCCGGCACAAAGGTCATGTTGCTGTGCTAGAACCATGGTTAGCACACTTGCCTGCCAGCACTGTGGTCATGTTGCTGTGCTAGAACCTTGGCTAGCACACTTGCCTGCTGGCACTGTGGTCATGTTGCTGTGCTAGGACCTTGGCTAGCACATTTGCCTGTTGGCACTGCAGTCATGTTGCTGTGATAGAACCATGGTTAGCACACTTGCCTGCCGGCACTGTGGTCATGTTGCTGTGCTAGAACCATGGTTAGCACACTTGCCTGCCAACACTGTGGTCATGTTGCTTATTAGATTGCTTATCTACCTAAATTTGACATTTACATGGATTGTTTCATTGACTGTAATCCTATGGTCTCATACTCAGTTTTCTAACTTAACATTTTTTTTCCATGTTTCTTAACAGGATGACTTTCTCCTTAGGCACTATGACAAAGGTCCCTGCAAGAATAAACTAGGTCACTCAAGGGCTTCGGTTATTTGGCACAGAACTCAGGTATTAAACACATTTGTCCAAGCACAGTTTCTTTTTTTAAAACCGGGTTGGTCTGCAAAATGCTCAGCCTGGCCACCAGACTACCCGGAAGATAGTACGTCGGTAATCCAGACTGAACGGGTAAAGTTGTTTAGAGATGGCTCATGCCGTTTGGGTTTTCCCAATCGAAAAATTTACAAGCACAGTTTCTCAATCAGAAAAGCTAACAACAAAATAGGATAGTTGCGTATCCTTGACAGGACGTTGCAGAACCAACCCCAACAGTCCCTGGCTGTTGTGTGGTTTTTCTAGGCCAATTTAAGTCCAGTAGTTTGCCATTGCTTCTGGACGGTAGGCTTTCTTGATACCACTGTCGAAACCAATGCAAGGCACATGGCCCGCAGCTGGGATCGAACCCGGCATTACGAAGCGTTCGCATCGACTTAGCCACAGAGCTGACAACAAAATAAGTAGTATTTAAACAAAAACGACTGACTGACTGACTGACTTTCTACCCCACCAGGACATCACACAAGCGATAAACACCCAATGACACAATGTGCCACCATGTGGATGAGGATCACTGTGGAGAGGTCCCAGAAACCGCGTTCAGCCATTAGACCATATTTATGGTCAAGCTATATTGTGGCCTCTGGCAAAAGCTAGAGTAGGGCTTCAAATAACGAAAAATTTCAACCTGAAAAGGACAGAAACTTAAATGTGTGTAATTAGAAACAAAAACGAAACAAACAGTAGTTTTGCACAATTTATTGCCTGGTATATTTAACTGTATCTCATCAGGCGCATACAGCAACGGTATGCCAGAGAATAAATTGTGTCATAAAACTCTATCATTTGTGTCTTCTTTGCTAAAATTTACAATAGGGGAAACATCAGTAGTACTTATAGAACAGTGGTTGCCAGCCTTTTCAAGTTTCAAAGCTACTTTTCATTTCAGAAATCACTATTGAACTATAAAGCTTAGAATCTGTAAAGTAGACTATCAGTAATATCTTAAGTGAACCATATCTCCCCTTGTGGGTTCTATTCTGGGGGACAGACCCACTGTCTCCCTAAAGTATGTTGTAAATTGTGACTAATTATGGGCGTTTCCTTTAGAGTCGCAGCGTGTTTGCCTGAAAGGTGGGGAATCAACAGTCTGCACAAAAATAAGCCAGATCTGTAAAACGGATGTGCAGGCAAAACTCAGTTTCTAGAACAACAACACTGAAGTCCAGAGGTGGACATATAACCAGAACTTTGTGCTGGAGTTTACAGCCGGTGAACGTGAAGAAGAAGAAGAAGAAATCAGCCAACAAATCCTCTACCTCTTGCGACTAACACATTTTTGTTTTTGTTTACATTTCTGCAGGTTGTTGGCATTTTTGCTGGCTTTGGAGTGCTTCTGCTTGTTGCCTCCCCTTTCTTGTTGCTGGCAGCACCGTGCATCCTCTGCTGCAAGTGTAAGTTCAGTAGATGCTGTGACGATGAAGAAGGGGATGTGTTCACTACATGAAGGAACCTTGTTCATCCCTGTCACTACAGATTCAGCATTTATCCAAAAGCTCATCCAGATTTGTGCATGTTCCGGGTGATGCAAGCTTGCTCTTTCACAGATCTCCAGGATAAAAGGAAGCTGTATTTTATTGAAAATGTTTACTGAATGGCGTTTCAAATGAAATATCCTATTCTATGGACTGCATTACTTATGGACTATAAGACGCACATACATTAAACGTTCTTTTTTTATTCATGGAGTGCCATTTCAGATGAAGAACCATAACTTCCCAAGTATAAGATGCAGTTATTTTCCAGAAATATAGGGTTTAAAAAACAGTGTGTCTCATACAATAGTAGTAGATCTTTTTATGATTATATATTTTTTTTCTGCAAAATTTGTGGTCGTAATCTTTTTTTTTTTATATTATAATATTCTATAGATTATGAGACATGTGTACATTTTAAAGCTTGGAGGTGAGTGGGGGGGGGGGGGGGGGGGGGGGGGTTGAAAGCTCATATTGAACATTCATGTGCAAAGTAAATTTAAAAACAAAACAAACAAATGACTGTTACCTTGAGTTTATGAAACCAAATTGACTTTTAAAATCACAGGCTACTGTCATCTGAACTTTCCTCTTCCCTTCTCAGTTTGTTACCCTTTTTTTCCTACTCGTCAAACATAAATGGTCTTAACCGCAAGCCGAATCCATTGTTGCCAAATAGTGACCAGTTTTCTTAATGATTTTTTTTTTTGTAATGTAATCAGAAAAATTGTCTCTTTTTTTTTTTTTAAACTCTAAGGCGAGAACACCAGCAATTTTAATTAAAGCACCACCTAAAATTGGATATCATTTTTAAGTTTAAATCCAGTTAGCATTTTGGAGAAAATTTTTCAGCGGACAGTTATAGTCCCTAAAATATGAGGATTATAACAAACCTTGATTTGCTGCAGTTTAATGTACGTTAGGGTTGTAGTAATATTTTCTTTATAATGCATCAGTTTGAAGATTGCGTATGTGACAAATGTATATAATACAATGCAGGTTTAGGCGATCATGATAAAAGTTAATTTAGTAACATTTTAAATTTTGCTACCCAATTCAGCATTGTACTTTACGGGCCAGCTATAAGTCTGGCATTATACTGTAGAGATGGTAATACATTAAAATACTTTTTTTTTTTTAGGGTTGGCCATACTTTGAGATATTTTAATATAGGGTTGGCTATACAGTGAGGTAATTTTACAATAGGAGCTGACCATAGGTTGATACATTTCACTATATGGGGCAGGCCATAATGCATTTTACTAAAGGAGATGATGTTAAGTTAAGGCATTTTACTTTAGGGGCTGGCCATAAATTAAGTCATTTTACTATAGTTAATGGCCATAAGTTAAGGAAGTTTACTGTAGGTACTCGGCATATGATAGTCTTTTCTTCTTCTTCTTTGTCGCGTTCACCAGCTGTACACTTGGGCGGAAAGTTCTGGTTGTTCGTCCACACCTGGACTGCAGTCCTGCTCTAGAGCCTGAGTGTTGCGTGTGCATCAGTTTTACAGATCTGATTCACTTGAATGCAGACTGTTGGTTCCTTGCCTCTCATGCAGATGCACTCGGACTTCAAAGGAAGCTACCAATTAGTTGACTCTTACGACATGCTTTCTGGTAGGCAGTGGGTCTATTCTTGTTTTCCCCCACAATGGGGCCCCGAATCCCACACGGGTAGATACTGTCTTTTAATATAGGGGCTGGGTATGGATATACTTGCTCCTTTTTTTTTTTTTTACTTCTACTTGAATTGACATCTTCACAGCATCTCTGCTTGATATTGAAAAGAACAGCATATTATTCAAACCAAAGCAGTTATCACATGTGCATAAGGCTTCTTAATTGCTGTTAAAATCATTTTCTGTGAGTTGTGTTTAGATTCTCAAGAAGAAAAATGTCTGATAGAGCCAAATCCAGAGAATTGGGGGGTAAGGAAAAGTCTCAGTGTTGTGATCATTGGCTGCAAGCTGCACAAACTGTGCTTTGTGAGAGGGTGTGTTGTCTTGATAAGAAAGAGTTTTACTGCATGTTTCTTTTTCCTAATGTCTATCTTGTGTGGCATTGGTAATCATGTCTATCCACATTCTGTCTTGTGTACTTTCAATCATTTCTGATACAGATGATCCTCCATACTATGATGTCAAACTGTCCAGCATATTCTCCCTATGCCTCTCCTCCCCTCCAACTTTCCTACCATCACGATGCAGTCCAGTTTTCTCCTTCTAATTACATGACCTAAGAATGTAGATTGTCTCTTTCTCATGAGGGCAATCAGTTCTCTTCGTGATACAGTTTCTTTCAAGACATTTTCATCACTCTTTTTGTCTGTTCAGGGTATTCTCATCGTTCGTCTACAAGACGACATATCCGCAGCTTGTTATTCCTTGTTTTCTTGTCATTGCCTGGTTTAGTTTGGTATAAAGTATAATAGAATAGAAAAGTGAAAGACCCTTTTCACATCATTGGTGCATCATGTTTGTGATAAATAAAAGGAAGAAACTTGGACTCTGTTCATGCTAGTGGTGTATCAGCTCATGTCACTAGACCTATATTGTTAGGTACAAGGAAAGGACCCTTTTCCATGCCTTCAGATGTATTGGGCATATGGGGCTAGACCTATGTTTTAAACACCAGTGGGTGATGTGGTCAGCATCACATCACCACCTTTACTTCCCAGGGCTTTACCTGGTACCCATTTAAAGCTTGGTCGACCTGGGAGCAAAATTCATTTTTGAAGAAAAAGGAAGACAGGCTCCGTCATAGACCCACATTTTTACGTTTTTTTTTTTTTAATGAGTACGGGAAATGTTATGAGAAGTAAAGGCAAGCCAATTGGAGTATACAAATATTTTAGTCTAGCACTACATGACTGATGTATCATTAGTACAAAAAAAAAGGGATCTTTTATCTTTAAACTGCTTCATTTAAACGACCAAAATTTTAAAATGTTACTAAGTTCTTAGGTTATAGTAACTTCAAACCCCCTGTATTTCAGTGTTCTGGCGCCTTCTTCAACATCCAATGGTTGACATTCTGAACTACCTTTGCATTATTATCAAGCAAAAATATTTGTTTGTCATTTTGGGTATTTGAAGGTTTTTAGTAACCATGGAAATGATATGTCTGAGCAGGGTTGTAGGAGTGACCAGAAGAGATCAAACCAGGAATGAGGTCATTAAAGAAAAAGTTGGCACAGAACAAGTTATGAATTACATAGGTAAACAGCAAATCAAATGGATTGCCTGTTTAGAGAGTGTGCTTTGTGACGCCATACCATACAAGACGTGCACCCCAAGAAAAGACAGGCATAGAGCATGGGGTAGACCCAGAAAAATATGGAAAGATAACATCACAGAAACTTTACAACAGCTGATGTGTTTATGATAGTGGTGGCCAAAAGAGAAAAAAGCAGAACCTTTATCTCCCTTGACACAAGAAGCCATCAAAGAGGAAGTGCAGAAGAAGACGGTTTTTCTTTGCACGAATGGGTCTTGCTAGTCACACCATTACCTTGGGCTATGCTTCCCATTCCTCCTTATAGCGCAATAAAACACATTCGTCTGGAAAGACGGAAAGGTGTCAACAAATTATGCGTAGTCATTGTAATAAATGTTTTGTTTATTATGGTTGTCTGAAGTTACTTGTGTAGATTTTAAAGCTAGATTTAGATTTGTACATTTTTAGAGCCAAAGATGTGAAGCTTGAATATAATAAGATAGGTATAATCCATTCCAAAAATCTTGCCCTCAAACTTTAACAAATGTCTCGAAAAGTCATGTACGGTTCAATACAAATTTGTGCATGTGGCCTTAGATTTCCCATGTCCTTATGATTTTATAATTTACAATTGCACAGGTGCTGCTGCTTTCTTACAGCAGCTAATTTCTTTGATCTTTGTCGGACTTATAAGTTGTGTACCTCTTAAAAAAAATAGCGATTGACACAAATCATTTACTTTTTATGAGCCAGTCAACAAGTATTGTGGCAGTACTTGAGGTATCCACTTTACCATTTTAAAAAAACTCTCCTAAATATTCCATGGATTACCTCCAAAACATTTGCAGTTTGATGTTTTACCAACTTCACCCAAGTCATTTACTGTAAACATGTTCATTGTATGCTTTGAATCAATGTTTTTTTTTTCATTTACCTCAGATATAGCAAAAATAGTAACTAGATTTTTGTTTGCATTATTTCCTGCAATGACATGATTATTAATTAACAGACTGCGTGCAAAATGTTAACAGTTTACACCAAAAGGTTATTAAGTTACAGATTTTTTAAGTTGGGCATAACTTTTGGAATGGACTATAGTAAGTATTCATCAAAACCTAACCTTTTGGGCATAGTGTAGTCTTCTTGTGCATTTGCCCTTAAAAGGACGGTTGGTGTGGTTTACTGATCGGCAGCGATATCTTCATAGTTTACAGATCGCCTGCAATATCTGTATCTTTTTGATTGAATTTATTGTGAATTCTCCCCATTTTTGGTGCTGGGATGTTTACGTAATATTGAGTTTTAATGTACATAGTAAGTTTGAAGTTAATTTTATCCATTTCATTTTCAAAGTTGATACAGCGTTCCAGGTTTTTTCTTCTCGTTTTATTTATTTTTGACATAATTGTCTTGTGCCTGTTTGTCTTCCTCTTCTTTTGTGTTCACTGGCGGTAAACTCTGGCAGTAAGTTCTGAGTGTTTGTCCAGCTACGGACTTTAAGCTTGTTCCAGAACCTGTGTTTCATGCACATCCGTTCCACAGGTCTGGCTTATTTGCATGCAGACTCTTGGTTCCTTGCCTCTCAGGCAGACATGCCTCGACTTCTAAGGATGCCCCCAAGTGGTCTACTCCTACAACATGCTTGTGGGGAGGCAGTGGGTCTATTCTCATCCAGAGTGTAGATTCTAGTATGAAACAAATAAGAGGAATGTGACTGGTACTGTGTAAATCCTTGTATTCATGCACAAATACTG